GATGTCGACGCCAATCCGAATCCGGCAAGGTTAAACTATTATGGGGTTGTTGGACCAGGATTCTTCCCAGATTTTTCGCGTCGGTTGGGCGGGTGTGGGTGGAGCCTTATCCAAATTAAAAATTTAATTCTAAGTCCCAACGGTGGACTCCTAGTTATGACCCGACTCCAATAGCTGGGATTAGCAGGAGACGGACACGCCTAATTCGGGATTCCTTGTCTTTTCTCGCCTATATAGTTCAAATCCCCCTGGTACGCACTCTCTCACATTCCATTCTACCATAGGTGTGCGCAGAAACAACGAAATCAGCAAGGTCCCTACCCCCGCAACGTGCTCTCGAGCATTCTCCAGGTAATGGGGCTTTCCCCCCAGCTTCGCCCCCTTACTCTCCCTGGATTGACAATTCTAATACCATCGAGTTGGGCAAAACGCCTCCCTCCGATGACTGGATTCCACCCAGTCAACTGGGAAAGACGAATGTGGACGTTCGTTGTCTAGCGATTAACATGTTGCCTCCTGCCGATTTGCAGGTGCAACCGATGGCTCAAATCGACAACGATCAGATGGTGCAGTCGGTGAGGTTTCGCGCTTCCCGCACTCTTCTAGCGAGGATCTTCACCGAGTCCGCAGTTACCCCTACTGAACTTCGTGATCCGCTACTCGCGCCATGGCAAGTAAAGTGACAGCTGCGGGCGACCATCACAAAACATGGGTTGTTCGAGATCACTCTGCCCAACGAAGAGGCAAGAGTTTGGGCGCTGAAAAGAACACCGTGGGTGGTGTTGGACAAAATTCTGCACCTCCGGCCTTGGATAGCCACGATCACGAAGCAAGTCTTCGATGACTTGGCCACTGCTTCATTCCGTGTCAAACTCTGGAATGTCCGAGATGAATGTTGCACCAAACAATTTGGTCAAAAAATAGTTCATGGTACTATCGGCCAGGTCGTGGAGACAGGTGTCTTTGCCTCCAAGGACACGAATGAATGCTTCGTGAAGGTGCGAGCTCTTATAGATTTCTCCAAACCGTTACGATAGGGTGAATTTAAAATATGAGTTCTTACCCACCTTCTGCTACCACTATGGAAGGGTGGGGCACTCAAAACGGGATTGTGTCTTTGGTTCCCCGCAAGGCAAGGAGCGTTTTGGCCGGCACATGTCCACACAGAAGATTGGGAGGAAGCTGTATGATAATGAGGATGATAGCTCCAACGCTCGCAATGCCTGGAAGACGGTTTGGGTTAACCGTACCACCCGGGAGAACCAGGAGGGAAATGGACGGACAGGGAACACTCACCAGCGGGATATGCGATCAACGCAGGCCGAGCATCTTGACCTGCGCCACACGCGCTATCCAGCACAAAATGATATGGCACCTCTGGGTGATAAGGAGGTGGCCCCAAAAACTTGACTCATCTCGAATATCACAATAAAAATTCCGATTAAGGCCCAAGTATAACCCTTAACCGGGTGCAATATAGGGAAATTATGTTTCAAAGTCAAACAAGGGTTGGTCCATGTACTCCTATTTCAATTGTTTAAAACATTATCTAGCAAATGGTTTTTGGTTAAAACTACGATTTATAGCTAAAACAATTGGAAAGTAAATGGTATGAACTTGGCGGCCTGGGTATTGTTGATACGAAAACCATAAATCAAGGCCTCCTATGAAAATGGTGGTGGAAGTACACACATGACAGAGAATCTTGGTGGAGTGAGCTGATTAGTTGGAAGTATCCTAATGACTTGTCTAGATGGATGCAAGGTGAAATAAAAGGAGTTGATGGTTGTAGTCTGTGGTCACAAATACAAAAGCTAAAGGATGTTTTTGGGAAGTTCACCTACGTGAAGCCGGGGTCAGGGGCTGAGGTTTCATTTTGATATGACTATTGGTCTAAAGGAGACCTAATTGCATAGAAATTTCCGAGGGTTGCTACCGCTACCGCGAATCGAAACTGTCGCCTTGCAGATGTTGCTCATTATAGTGATGGGAGGATTATTTGGGATATAACACTTAAGTTTGATCTGGGAGGGGGGCTGAGAGAGAGAAACAAAACTGGTTAAAGTTACTTGATAATCTTCCTTGTGAGTTGTCTACTACAGGTACCTATTCTATTGTGTTGCATCCTTCTCAAGCTGGTTTCCATGTCAGATTGGTTTATAAGGAGCTGATCATTGAATGTTTTCCGGGTGCTTCTGATTTTCCATTCTAGGCGACCAGGAAGACGGTGGTGCCTCACAAAATTTGTGTCTTCCTCTGGATAGATTTTCAAAAGAAAATCCTCGCGCATGAAGCGCTCAAGATAAGAGGTTGGGCATTCCCAAGTCGTTATACCCTTTGTTGTGGTAGAGAAGAAAGCATCAATCATCTTTTTCCGTCCTGCAGTTTCACTCAAGATGTTTGGAGGATGATCAGTTGCTTTGTTAAGGTAAAAAACTCCTCTCCTGACATTGCTTAAATGATTAGAGCTTGGACACACAAGATGCCTTCCAACCCACGTAAATGGTGTACAAGCATCTTGCTCCACGCCTTCTGCTGGTGCATTTGGGTTGAAAGGAATGCTAAAATGTTTAGAGATGATAATGAATCCAGCAAACAGGTTTTCTTAAAGATTGTGCGGCAAATTTCCAGCTGGCTCATCGCTGTAAACAAGACCGAGAAGGATGTTGGTGATCAATAGCTTCGCACAATGAAGGCTCGCCTCTTCCCTGGTGGACTACAAGCTGGTCAAAATTGATTTTGGTAGGATGATGATTTGGTTCAGAATATCTTCTGATTGTACTTTGGGTTGGTGGGTCTGGTTTTGTTATTTGTTTGTTGGTGGGTTGGTTGTTGTAGTGTGTCAGGTTGTTATCTTCTTTCCCTGATATTGTTTGAACGTTACAGCAGGTTGCTCTTTGTAGATGCATTTTGTTTCAATTCTTGTTTTGTTTCTTTAATATATTTCATCAATATAAAAAAATGGTACGAACACTTATTGAGAAGGCTTCACCCGGGTGTTGCTCCCCTATCTAACGATCATGATTTGTTGGATTGAACGCAAATTTATGGTAAGGTCGGTTGTAAACCATAGGGAAGTGCAACAAGTGAACAACGGTCACTCTCTCGGTCGCTAGGCCAAGGGATTTCGAATCAACCTACCAAGGTAGCTCTCTTGGCCAAATCGACTAAGGGTCGCTTAGAATTCAACCTCGAACCATAGTTCGGACGGCAAAATTACAAAATACCCAAGGTGCTAATACGTATTAAGAGTTTGCCCTAATTCAACCTAGGTAGGTGACGCAATTGGCCAAGGAATTCCATCTCTTACAAGCCTCTTAGCAAGAATGGAACTTCCCTCTACCTAGGTCAATATGGCATAAGAGTTGGAAAAGCAAAAACTCAACACAATCTTCATAAAAATACCTCATAACTTGTATTAAAACACAACCACACACAAGTCATTCAATCCATACAAACATTCACATAATTGTAGCTAAGTTTTACAAACACCCAAGTGAACGAAAGGACTACTCCATGCTAAGTAGAGGGAATACAAAAGGGAGAAGAGAGAAATCTGAAGAAGTCTCTCTCACTAGGTTCTCCCCCTTTTCTCTTTCAGCTCAACCCTCCTTATATCCCCAGATCGAAGGAATTTCACAGTCCCAGTTCACGATCATGAACATTTGGCCTTGATCATAATGTCAAGCAAAAACGCGTCATTTCGCTAAGGCGCTTCATGGTCTGGAGCTAGTCTTCACGGTCGATTGACTGTGAACTGCGAAATGCCCGCGAGACGATAAAACCTCTCTGAAATCCTCTCCTTTCACGGCCTGAGTCTCCTCTTCACGGTCTGGTTGAACGTGAATTGCTGGCCTCCATCGTGAACTGCTGTTGTTGCTCCCTTTCGACCAGTTTTCGCTTCTTTTCACCTGCTAGGATCTGAAACATACTAAAAAAACCACAACCTAGCTAAAACCGAACCTCACGAAGTAAAAGTGCCTCAAACATCAAAGGAATACGTGGTAAAAAGTGTACAAATATACATGAATCAGCTATTCCGCCATTTCTATCCCTCGATGAAGATGATGATTCACGATGACAACGTTTATTCTCCAGTGAAGAGACAAGTCACAATGATGGTGTTTGGCTCAAGTGAAAAAGATGGACCACGACGACAGCGTTTAGTTCATTCCTTTTCTGCTTTGTGCAATACGCACCGTTTCCTCTGTGCGGTGTCGTTCTGCCTATTAGGAGATGATTTACTTTTCGTTCAAGTTTCTCTTTGTTTCCTTTTCAAGCTAAGTACCAAATTCAGCTGGCCAACCTTGTCTTGTTGTGCCACAAGCTGCTATATATACTTTGGAGATAATGAATGAGAAGGTTAAGAGTTCTATGGCTTCACAACACAGATTTGTTGTTAGACGGGGGTTTTTGCGTCGGCTACTTAGATGGAGCGGAGCCGATGGTGGGTTTCAATTGTGGGATTTTAGGAATGGACTTCTACCATTTGGTTGTAAATTTGGAATTTTGGGAATAAAGGTGAGTATTTGTGGGTGTTGGTGGGTGAGTGAGATTTGGGGTAGGGACAGTGGAAAAGTGGAGGGAAATGGGTCACAGATGATAAAAGGGTTTTGGGAAGAAGGATTGAAGATTGTGGCGGAAGGTAGGAGGAAGTTTGGGGATTCTAGCGAAATGAAGAATGGTTTATGCGGATAGGGAGAGTGGGTTTGGGATATCAAATCGATTTCTAATTTGTTTGTTTTTTTAGTCGAGAAACAAATGGATTGAAGAACAGGTTTTTAGGGTTCTCTAGAAACCAGGCTCTGATACCATCACAACAAAGATGAGTTGTGAAATGAGAATCCTAGAATCCTTGGATATTTCTAATTCATACTTGGGTTTAAATAGTCTAAGAGTATCACTACATGACAAAGGTGTGTCACCTTGATTTTGGAGAACAAAGGTAAAACATAACTAAAACTAAAATCTAAACATAATAATAATTATGGTAATTTTCTCTAAAGTTCATCGATCCACTTTGACATTCGTGATCGTCGGTTTGAGTCTTGACGATATTTCAATATCTCATGTTATATATATATATATATGCTGCACATAATCCTAATCCATCAAAATTCATTAACTTTCCCAAAGTGTCATCCTGATACAACTCTCTCTAAACCAACTGTGACAAAACTTGAATGGTAATCAGATCTGCGGCTATATACAATCATAATGGCTCTAGAGTAGTGTGGCACTTAAGTATTTACATATACTCATGGTGCGATCGATGAATATATATAAAGACAAATGAGAGATGGAGGAGAAGAAGAAAAGCTAGATAAGAAACTATAGTATTCTTGTCAGTCTCGTGGCTCAGATGGAGAATGACGATACTGTTGAATCACTAAGACTGAAGCATTAAGGTTGATCTCAGCAGAAGCCAAGAGGTCTCCCACGTTTCCAAGCTCCGGGCATTCCTCCCAGTCGCTCATGTCGCTGGTCATGGGCAGATTAGGCCTCCCTCCTTTCCCTACTATGAATAGTGAATACATCCCTCCTATCTCTTTTAGTACCTCTACCGTCTCCTTCCCGTCTCCCACTTCCATCTCCTCGTACCCTACTTTACCTGACGCTACGTACCTGCATGCATGCAATGGTAACCTAATTACTCCCGCCAAATCTATGAAGCATCTCCCCCCCAACAACAACAACAACAAAAAAAGGTTAATCACCTGTTGTAGAAGTCGTGGATGCAGGCGTTATCCGTCTCTGATTCCAGCTCAGGGTCCGGGATCTCCATCAAGACCTCATCGCTCCGATGACTCTTCCCATCAAAATCACCCTTCACCTCCTCCCCTTCGGGCGGCGCCTGCAAGAACCTAATGAGCGTGACGTGGACGAACGGGTGGGCCGCGATCCTCCTACTGCAGGCCAGAGCCTCCCTGTCATCAGGCCCACCGAAAAACAAGGTCGCCACGTTTTGCACGTGATCCGGCGACGGCAGCTGGAACCCGGTCTGACCTCGGTCCACAAACAGCCCCACCGAGCACTGCGCGTGCCGCAGAACCTTCTGGTTCGTCGTCCGGATCCCGGGCTTCCCCGTCTCCAACTTCCCATCCAACCTCTGGTGCTTGTGAAATGTCAAGAAGATTATCGAGATCCGGAGATCTTCGACCGCGTTGCAGACATCCTCGTACATGGCAGCAAACGCGGAGACGATTTTTACCTGAATAAACAGTGATGAAACCAGAAATCTGAGTAAGAGAGTTGGTTAGAAGTGGCAAATAGATTGGATTTATAAACTGATGAATTTATAAATTTGGATAAAATGGATTAGTGAATTCATGAATTGGATCATAGATTGACATATAAACACTGGACAAATGTCATAATAATAAAAATTAGGTATCAAATAGTAAATTTTCAATGATATTTTCTTTGTAAATATAAATTTTATGTATCGAATTGTAAACTATAAAAGTATAGGTATTAAATTGTAATTTGGCGACATAAAAGAATCAATCGATTAATTTAATTTATGAATCTACCCATCTTATTGGATTTAGATTAAATGTGTTTATTCCAAAAAAAAAATTAAGTGTGTTTAAATGCATTGAATTAAAATAAAATATTTTAGTGGATGGATCGGACCGACGGGAGTTGATAACTAGTTTTCGTGCTGACTGACCTGATGGAGGAGGAACTTGGTGTCGGCCGAGAAGGTGTCGACGGCGTCATTGATCTCGATGACATCGTTTCCGCCGTACTCTTCCTCGTCGCTGAACTGGTCGCCGTCCTGGAGCTCGTGGTACATGAGGTTTTTTTTAGTACGTTGCTTGGGCAGCTCGACCAGGTGCGTGAGGTAGGCGGTGACGGGCGTGGTGAAGGATCCGCTGAGGGCCCAGATGAGCCCGATCTTCGCGGAGATGTGTCGCGACCCGTACACGCAGGCCAGGATTCGGAGCTCGCTCTCGGGCTCGTACAGTTCCAGGGAAGTGTGCTTGTGGGCGAAGTACCGCTCTTCTTTGCGGAGCACGAACGCCGCCGCGGGTCCCGAGATCACGGTGTTGAGGACCGTCACCGTCGCCACCAGGCTGTAGATGTCTTGCGCGTGCCATGACGACAACTACATTTGCACATTGCCACAACAAAAAACGGAACAAAAACTCTGTTAGTCACTTAATTGATGAAATTCACGGTATTTGAGATCGTTCACAACGTTAAGACACGTACGAGTTGGTGCGGCAACTTGCCAATGAGCAAAAGCTCGGGATGGCCTTTCAAGTTGAGAAGGAAAGCGAGGACGACGCCTTCACTAGTCGGGATATTAAGGTACCGACACGCCATTAGCGTCCCAATGATCTTCCCACCGGTGCTGAGAAACATCACCAGCGCAACGACAATCACGTTTCTGGCGCTAGCCAAGTAGGCGACGTTGAACTGAAACCCTATGTACCCAAAATAGACCGGCAGGATAAAGATATGAACCGCATAGGTCAACTTCCTCATCAACGTCCTCGTGCTCTTGCCTTGCTTGGGGAACATCAACCCGACCACGAACGTCGATATCGTCGAGTTATAACCCGACGCCTCGATCAAGAAGGCCAGCCCGACGACCAGGAACAGGAACAACAGGACCTCGGCGTTGGTGACGTACTTTTGGTTCTGGTTCCGCTTGTTGCACCACACGACGAGGTACTTGTTGATCACGACCAGGGCCACGGTGGCGAAGAGGAACAGGAACCCTCGCCCGACCATGTGCTTCGACACGAAGATGAGGAAGACGCTGAACCACAGGATGCAGGAGATCTCGCATATGAGGGACGCCGAGATGGCGAGGCGGCCCACCTCGGCCGTGGCGAACTTCAGCTCGGCGGCCAGGCGGACCACGACGGGGGCGCCCGTGTTGGAGAGGACGATCATGATGAAGTTGGTGAGGGCGAAAGAGTGGGAGGTGACGTTGACGGATTCGATGATGAAGAAGGAGAGGGCGACGGCGAAGATGCTGCAGATGATGATGCCGCCGTATGCGATTGTGGTGGCTTTTTTTAGGTTTCGGCGCATGTAGGAGACGTCCATCTCGAGGCCGATAAGGAACATGAAGAGGACGCAGAAGATGAGGGAGAAGACCTCGTAGTAGTCGGCCGACGAGGTTTGGATGAAGAAGTCTTTCACTTGTGCTATCCGGGAGAGTAATGAGGGGCCCAGCACCACTCCTGCCTGGATGTGAATAATGCAAAAACAAAAAACGAGTTATACACGACGACTCGATATTTCAAATGATCTGATCGATGGAATCGTTTGTTTGTTTGTACGAACGAACGTACCAAGACTTGGGCTACAGGGCCGGGTTGGCCGAGAGGTTTCAAGATGAGGTTGAAGAAATGGGAGATGACGAGGATCCCAGAGGCTTGCATGGAAGACGAGATGAGTGGGTTGAACGGATCGGCCTGGCACATTGCCCTTCTTGCCGCGTCCATTTTCGATCCGGCGAAACTTTTCCCCACTAATTTTTCTCCGGTGATTTCTGTCTTCTTGTGTTTTTTCTTCCTTTCTTCTCCCTACTCGAGAGGAGATGGAAAGAAAGAAAGAAAATTGGGCAAAGGAAGCAGTTGGAAAGTGTGTTACCTCTCTCTCTTGTTTTCCCTTGCGCTAATTTTTCCGATTTTGGATGAGATTGGAATGACCAGAAAAGTATTAATGGGTAGAGAAAGTCAAATGGACTTTTTAAATTACTAATGGACTAGCTTCATTTCAGGACTCTGCTGAGGGGGGATTAATGGTTTCGCCATGTGGGTTGTCTGCTTGCTGCTGGCTTCACAAATTGTTGGTTTATCAAGAATGTGGCTTCGTGGAGATGGAGTGTATTTATCATTAAAAAAAAATACACATATTTGTCTCATGATTTTATTGAGTTTTTGTTTTCCACTTTCTTTCGTTCTGTATAGCCTTTTGCATGTCATTAAGAAAATGGTGATCACTTTTCAGGATGAATAAGAAGATTATTTTTATTTCCATGTCTTTTTTTTACAATTATTGTACTTGTCAATAGAGTACTCTAGTGATAGTGAGACTATACTTTTTTTTATTTTAGAAGACAAGGTTATACCCTAATTTCGGCATTAATGACAAACGAATTGATACAAGTCTTATGTCAATTTGTTAATCAATGTGTATATAGAAATTTCATTAGAAGGATTGATCATTAATCTAGCATTAGCAGAGAAGGATTGTAACTAATCCAGATGCATAAAGAATTTGGTGAAGGAAGTTTCGAAAAAAGCATAGAAGTTTTGTTGTGTTAGTTTCATTGTGTATCGGACATTTTTTCTTGTGTCTTATGTTTCATTTAGCTTAAAGGGACATCAATACCAACACACCTCTACGCTAGGGGTAGCCATCAAGTTCATATATTCAGAACAGAAACAATCAATTCGACAACTTCAGTTTTCTGAATCAAACCGTTGCATGTCTCGATTTGGAGGTTGTTTAATATTTTTTCCATCACTCGGTATCGATTTGGATTGGAATGTCCCTAATCAAAATATCAAACAAACAAAAAAAATCGAACCGCAAAGAACCAAACTCATAACCCATCTCGTCTCCCCAAACTGTTGAGAAACGAGGCAGCAACAACATTCAAGAATAGAATGCACAAGACACACGATTTTTACGTGGAAAACCCAAATCGGGAAAAACAACGGGAACTTTGTCCAAGTCACAACTCCACTAGACTTTGGTGGTATTACAATTCCTCTCTAGACAAGCCAGAGGATTACAAACACCTCAAGAACAACCTTCTTGGATCAACAATCAACCACAATAACTCTCACCAACATCGTGGATAACTAGAATAAGAGCAAGACAAAAAGAGGTTTAGAGGTACCAAAAACAGCTTCGTACACCTTCTTTCCAACAGCGATTGCCAATGAGCTAGAGATAAGAACGATGATCCCTCCAGTCAGACTGAATCCCAGAATATTCCGAACCCACTATCCAAATATCAAGACACGAGAAACTGCAGCTCTTTGTTTTCTCTCTTCTCTCTTTTCCTTATCCCATCTCTTTTCTGATTATCTATCCATAAAATGAAAGGGTATCTCCCTTTTCCCCTTGACCAGATAATAACTCTCTCTATTTTTAATAATAGAGGATCTTCTAGAAAGACTTTTGAACTCTCCAATGAGTCAAAGATAACCCAAACTCAAACCGGTTAGTCCAACCACTATATGAGGTGGACCAACCTAACAAATCTATCCCTCCAGCTCATATGGAGGTAGCACCAAACCTGCGTCATCTCGACAGAAGATAAGTTTCTCACTTTGTAGAGATTTAGTCATCACGCGTATGCACTTTGCTGAGCACCAACAAATTCTCTTCCAAAGCATCACGAATCCAATGATATCGAACATCTATGTGTTTCGAACTTGAGTGGAAATTAGGATTCTAGCAAAGATGGATTGCATTTTGACTATCACAATAGAGCACATACCTCTCTTGCTTGATGCCCAACTCTTGAAGAAACTTCTTCAACCATAGCATCTCTTTGCAAGCTTCCATCACGGCTATGTACTCGGCTTCTGTTGTTGATAATGAAATTTGTAGTTTAGATTGTCATGAAATTGCAGCACCTATAAAAGTCATCATGTATCCAGAAGTTGACTTTCTAGACTCCACATCACCTTCAATGTTAGCATCGGTATAGCCATCAAATATGGCCTTGCCATTACCAAAGCATAGACACACTCTATAAGTACCTTTCAAGTAGAGAAGAATCCACTTCATTGCTCTCCAATGTTCTTTCCCCGGATTGGAAAGAAACCGACTAACTATCCCAATGGCATGTGCAATATTCGGCCTTGTGCAAACCATGGCGTACATCAAGCTTCCAACAGCTTATGCATAAGGCACATTCTTTATTGCTTCTTTCTCTTCATCACTTGTAGGAAAATGCTTCGAAATCAATATTAAATGTCCTCCAAGTGAGGTGCTAACCGTCTTAGTCTTGCTCATGTTGAACCACTCATGAACTCTTTCAATATACCTTTCTTGTAACAACCAAATTTTTCCATTCATTGGATCCCTGGAGATTCTCATCCCTATAATTTGTTTCGTCAGTACTAAGTTCTTCATGGCAAAGGATTTACTCAACTTCTTTTTCAATCTATCAATCTCTCCAACATTTTGACCCACAATCAACATGTCATCCACGTAAAGCAAGATAATGATGAAATCATTTTCAGCAAAGTATTTCACAAACAAGCACTAGATCATGAATGAGTCGAACTTCTTGTACCATTGCCTTGGTGCTTGCTTCAACCCAGATCGGGTCTTTCTCAATCTGCATATAAGATCTTCTTTGCCTTTAATATCGAATCTTTCCGGCTGATCCATGTAGATTTCTTCCTCTAAGTCACCATGAAGAAATTTTGTCTTCACATCGAGTTGTTCAACTTCCTAGTCCAAACTTTCAGCCAGCCCAAGCACAACTCGGATAGCGGACATCTTCACCACGGGAGAGAAAATTTCTTCAAATTCAACACCTTTCTTTTGGTTGAAACCCTTCACAACTAGTAGCGCTCTATACCGAGGCTTTGAACTAGTTTCCTCCGTGTTTATTTTGAAAACCCACTTGCACTTAAGTGATCTTTTTCCTTTGGGTAGCTTCACCAAATCATAGGCGTCATTCTCTTGCAAAGACTTCATCTCTTCTAGCATTGCTTTATTCCACTTCTCATTGTCTTTATGAAACATGGCTTCTTGATAATATTCAGGTTTTCCCCCGTCAGTCAACAATAGGTACTCATAAGGGGAGTACCATGAGGAAGCTTTGCAATCTCTTCCTGACCTTCTTGGTTGGGGAGAGGTTGCTCTTCTTCGACTTGTTCTTCTTGCTCCAATTTCTCTTCTCCTTGCACTTCTTGATCTAGTGCACCTTGGGGCTCATCATGCACTACTTCCTCATCATTTTTATGCATTTGGGATGAATATATAGGCTCCAAATTAACCAGACCAGCTACTGTATTTTCTTCTTTTCACCCCTTTCGACGTCTTCACTTGTCTTGTAGAGCATTACTTTCCTTCTTGCCTTTAGCCACCACAAGAGAACCTTTTGATAGCTTCCATTTTCCTTCTCTAAAATAGTTGGTATAAACCATCATCATCAAGCTTTCCCGTGGATATCAAATTCAGCCTCGTGTTAGGAACATGTCTCACATCCTTCAAGACTAGCTTGCAACTCGTGTTGGTCTCTAGATGAAAATCACCCATGACAACAATCTTTGATGCACCACGATTTCTCATCCTCACACAATCATAGTTGTCGTTTGTGTAAGAAGAGAAAAAATCAACCCGTGAGGTCACATGCAACGAGGCACCCGAGTCAACAACCCAAGTACTTTCTTGACATGCAAGGTTAATAAAATGTTATGATACCAGGAAAAAATCCAAAAGTACCACTGTTTAAAAAAAAATTCCAAAAATACCACTCAATCCCAAAAAATTCCAAAAATACCACCCTTTTTCAAAAACCGCCACTCCACCCAGCGGTTTGGTCGAAAACCGCTTGTCGGGGGCGCGGTTTTGGACCAAACCGCGGGCCTAGGGGGCGGTTATAAAAAAAAAAAAAAATTGGACCAAAACCGCTGGGTGGGGTGGCGGTTTGGCCCAAAACCGCCACCCCAACCAGCGGTTTGGTCCAAAAACTCGGTCGAAACTTCAAACGAACGTAACTTTGCACTCGGGTATTCGATCGTAGCGATTCTTTTTTTCATTTCGCATAACTTTTCAAGATCTACAACTTTTACTAGGATGAAATTTTCAAAACAGGAACTATTTGTGGATATACGGGACCTTGAGAATAACTTTACCTTTACTTTTCAGAAATCCATGTACATTTTGAAATTATGATTATATTAAAAGTTGTAGATCTTGAAAAGTTATGCGGAATCAAAAAAAAGTTCATAACATTCGGAGTTTGGAGCACAAAATTATGGCCGCCCAAAGTTTGACGAAAGGCGAGACCCGACGGTTTGCGGCTTGCAAGATCTCAAAAAGTTTGCGGCCTCCATTTTTTGAATCCGAATCACTTTTTGAGATCTTGCAAGTCTCAAACAGTCGGGTTCCGTCTTCGTCTCGAAAAAACGTCATTTGCCACCCCGAACGGCATTTTTTTTATTTCGTCAAACTTTGGGCGGCCACAACTTTGTGCTCCAAAATCCGAATGTCATGAATTTTTTTTTTATTCCGCATAACTTTTCAAGATCTACAACTTTTAATATAATCATAATTTCAAAATGCACATGGATTTCTGAAAAGTAAAGGTAAAGTTATTCTCAAGGTCCCGTATATCCACAAATAGTTCCTGTTTTGAAAATTTCATCCTAGTAAAAGTTGTAGATCTTGAAAAGTTATGCGAAATGAAAAAAAGAATCGCTACGATCGAATACCCGAGTGCAAAGTTACGTTCGTTTGAAGTTTCGACCGAGTTTTTGGACCAAACCGCTGGTTGGGGTGGCGGTTTTGGGCCAAACCGCCACCCCACCCAGCGGTTTTGGTCCAATTTTTTTTTTTTTTTATAACCGCCCCCTAGGCCCGCGGTTTGGTCCAAAACCGCGCCCCCGACAAGCGGTTTTCGACCAAACCGC